AACTTGAGAGCTGTCAGTTTCTACATTAACCACCACATGGAAGAAATCTGTTTTAATATGAAAAAAGTTGTCTTAGACAAGTAGTGTACCCAGGTGTCTGACAGACACAAACAGGAATCCTCCTTAGAGGAACTTATCACCTGAGACTTCAAAGATCTTCTGCAAATAAAGGGAAAATGAGCAAGTCAAAGTCAAACGTCTCTAAACATAAAGAAAATAAAGCACCATGAGTGAGAACCAATAGAAAAAACAGTATAATCAGACTCACAAAAAATATTACTTTTAGAATTAGTAGACACTAAAGGCAAACTAAAAATGTTTAAAATATTTTAAGTTTAAAGAAACAAAAGCGAGGCTTGAAACACATGAAAAAAAGCAAACAGATTTTTAAAAGAACCAAAGAGAATGCCTAGGAATAATTTTTTTTAAAAAATTGAAAAAAAATTTTAAACCTCAGTGAATGAGTTTAATCACAGATTAAACAAAAAGAGAAAATTTCCAACCTGGAAGATAAATTAGAAGAAAATATCCAGGCAAGCAGCTCAGGAAGACAAAAAGATGGAAATTTTGAGGGGCAAATGATGAAGAAGAAAGAATGAGAAGTGCTAATACAGATTTAAACCGTTCCAGAAAAACAGAGAGAGAGAGAGATGAAGCAGAAACAATTATGTTAAAAAAACAATGGCTGCTAAATTTGCAGAACTGATAAAGAACCAATCCAAAGATTAAAGAACCTCCCCAGCCAGTCAGCTCAGCTGGTGAAGGCCCACCACAAGAAAGTCTGCTCCTGTAGGTTTGATGTGGATATAGAACAATTAGTTTCCCACAAAGAACACTTTGTTTTATGGCCGGAGACTTCAGACCTTAAACTTACGTAAAATATCTGTTAATAATGTGTAATTAAATTATTATTGGAGTAAATATCAGAAAACAATGTGTTACTTCCAGCACAAATGTATCACCACTATTTCAAAAGCTACTCAAACCACCTGACTTCCCAATGGAGACTTCTGTTCATAGACCAAGGGCCATACCTGACTTCTTAGGCTTACTGTATGGGATAGACTTGTGATATTGGGCACCCGATTTAATATCCTAAATAGGGGCCGGCCGGGTGGCACAGTGGTTAAGTGCCCACCTTCTGCTTCGGCGGCCCAGGGTTCACTGGATCGGATCCCGGGTGAGGACATGGCACTGCTCAGCACGCTATGCTATGGTAGGCGTCCCACGTGTAAAGTAGAGGAAGATGGGCACAGATGTTAGCTCAGGGCCAGTCTTCCTCAGCAAAAAGAGGAGGATTGGAAGCAGACGTTAGCTTGGGGCTAATCTTCCTCAAAAACAAAAAGTAAAAAAATACTCTAAATAATAATACCTCCTATTTGAATAGCACTTTGTATATACAAACAGCACTTACACTATCTCATTCAATTTCCATGGAAATTCTTAGAGATAGATATTAATTTATGTTACAAATGAGAAAAGATGAGGCTATACAAGTTGAAATAGTTTGTACAAAGTAAACTAGTAGTATATATAGACCTCAAACACTGGTCTCCTGGCTGGTTATAGAACACTCTTTAAAATATTCCCATGTTGCCACTTTACTAAATTTCTTACTCCAAAAGAAGTTAATCATAACACATTATAAAATATTTAATATTCAAAGTGCTTCTTTTCTACCATAAATTGTCCTCCTAACCCATCATGCCAATAATGTTTTACTGTATTTGTCTATATGTGTGTATGCATACATTTCGAACTACCCAATAAGTTAATTTCAGGGAAGTGGCAAATATTGATTCCCGATAAATAACCATAAGAATTGATCCAGGGCCCGGCCCGGTGGCGCAGCAGTTAAGTGCGCATGCTCTGCTTCAGTGGCCCGGGGTTCACCGGTTTGGATCCCAGGGGTGGACATGGCACCGCTTGGCAAGCCATGCTGTGGTAGGCGTCCCACATACAAATTAGAGGAAGATGGGTATGGATGTTAGCTCAGGGCCAGTCTTCCTCAGCAAAGAGGAGGACTGGCAGCAGATGTTAGCTCAGGGCTAATCTTCCTGGAAAAAAAAAAAAGAAGCAATCTAATACTGTGTCCTTCCCTTGGTTTTCCTCTTCTTCCAAATTTTTAAACTGCTCCTCACATGTCATCCGTAAGTTTGACTAACAAATACAACAGCAACAAAAAGTTGTTTCCTAGCTGTTGAGGAATGAATGATTAAAATGCAAGCCAAGTATGGCTTCTTAGAAATAGCTTCCTAATTAATAGAGTTTCTTGAGTATTTTAATGAAAAGACACTACTATAATCAATATTTATTAATTTGGTATTTAAATTTTAAGTGACACTAGTTTTACTGAAGTTTTAAAAATGTGTTTTTTAAATATCCATTGATTTGGAAAATGTATCACAAACCAAGTAAATTGATACTCTGTTAAACAAGTATCAATTGGTGCACCTTATTTTGAATGGATCTTCTACCCTTGAATAATTTTGTTTTGCTCTGTTTTTTTGGATTTTTTCTTTTTGCAGGGAAAGATTCACCCTGAGCTAACATCTGTTGTAAATCTTCCTCTTTTTTTTTTTCCTCCCCAAAACCCCAGTGCATGGTTGTATATCCTAGTTGTAAGTTGTTCTAGTTCTTCTATGTGAGCCACCACCACAGCATGGCAACTGCCAGACAGGTGGTGAGGTTCCAGGAAATGAACCCAGGCCGCCAAAGTGTTGAGCACTGAACTTTAACCATTAGGCTATTAGAGTTGGCTCCAATAATTTTTTAATATCATGCATTGGTGATTTGGAAATCATTGGTTCACTAAGTTATGTGGATCTTCCAAATGTTGACACATTTCATTATATAATATCAAAAACTCACATTAATTAAACCCATCACCAACCTCATCAGAGAAGTCTTTAAGTATTGGGAGGCAGTCAAGCTTTCAATAACAGATACAAGTTTTCCAGAATTCTAATTTTTAAAAGCTCAAATTTTATCATTGGCAACAAAAACTGTTGGTTGTCTTCCTCTATGTGACATTTTTGAGAAAATATCTGCCAAATACCCAAGTCTGAATAACCATTGTTTGTTTTTCAGTAGTTCTTTCAAGTAAAAATGGTGCTTTTGAAAAATGTGACTAGTTCAACACACGTCTTTTGCCCAGGTGGTTTTCCTCAAGTACAATCATACTTTGCTCTGCACAAACAATATCAAAAATATGTGTATTCAAGGTTAGAGATTTAACAAAATTAATTTTTACTGCTTCACCAATTCCATTCTTAAGTGAAACAGGCATTATTTTATACTGGAAGTGCTTGGCAGTGAAGAATTCAATGACTATAAGCACCATTTCATGTCACTGCTAATATTTGTGCTAAGGTCCCAGCAGTTTTATCCTTTACATCTTTTGCATCATCATCAAATGTCAACATATTAAAAAAATACAAACAACTTCGTAATATTATCATCTAAATAGTTTTGACCATTCAGATCTTCTAAAAGGATCTTAGAGACCTTTAGGGGTCTGCAAACCACACTTTGAGGATCACCCACTTAGATCAACCTGGATTTACCCTTGAGTTTGAGATGGGGGTGAGCTTCATTTCAGTCACATGAGAACTGAGGACACCTGAACAAAACTGAAGGTCTATTAGCAAGGAGGAAAGGGCAAGTAGATATTGAGAAAACTTAAAGGGTGTGCAACAGCAATGTAGGAGTTAACAAAGTTGGCTTGAGATAATGTTAAGTACAAAAATAACAATAATAAATTGCATAATAATCAATCAGAGGATTCTCTGAATTGAAATAATGCCCAGTGTTGTAGGAAGAACAACAGAAAATCAACCAAAATAATTACAAGTGTCCAGGATCCCCACAAGATCAGAAGCACCTTGAAAAAGGTAGGGATCATAACTTAATCAATATTATAGACCCCTGACTAGCAGAGCGCCTGACACATCGCAAGTGTCCAAGAAGTTTGTTGAATAAATGAATGAATGAACAAGTTTAATAAATTAAATGAATGGAAAGAATATTCACAAAAGCAGAGCACGAATATTGGTAGCAAATGGAATGATGTTCCAAAAGTGATGGTATAAAAGAAGCAGCAAAGAAAGAAGAGCTAATAAAGAAAATTCTGAGGGAGGATCTACATGGAAACGAAGCTACCAATTCATTGTATTCTTAACTTCAACTTTGTGTAACAGTTGGTTAAACACAATCTCTGCAGGAATTAACTTTGACATCTAAGAATGATTGCACTGGAGCATGACTGGGTGTGTGTGGTTATGATGGTTCATAAATCTCTCTGAATCAGTGCAGCATATCCATAGGTGAACTCTTAACATTTCCTTCTTTATATCGCACATTGCAAAGAATGGCATTTGCTTTTAATTTATTTTACATAACTCTTTGAAAGGTAGCGTAACTATATAAAAACTGATTTGCTATTATCCCAACACTTGTACTCTTCCAATCTTACATCTTCTGTGAGGCATCCAGAAAAATATCTTTGAGGAGGACGAGGCAGCAGGAAAAGAATAAAGAAATCAGTTTTAATAAAGACATTTAAAGAAACCTTATTAAAGTTTCTGGAATTTTATGACAATATGATTTTTACTCCTATTGTCTATTTCATTTTCAGATACAACTTAAGAATGATTTATTGAAAGATTCTCTCTCCTCAAAATTATCAAAAAATAAATTATTAAATTCTAGAAGACTTGTACTTAACTCTAAGTTTTCATGGCAAGACAGTCAAAAGAAAATTCCATTATTCAACCTAAAATCAAAACAAGATAAAAATTCTATTGGGGCCAGCCCAGTGGCACAGCAGTTAAGTTCACACGTTCTGCTTTGGTGGCCCAGGGTTCGCCAGTTCGGATGCCGGGTGCAGACATGGCACCGCTTGGCAAGCCATGCTGTGGTAGGCATCCCACATAGAAAGAAGAGGAAGATGGGCACGGATGTTAGCTCAGGGCCAGTCTTCCTCGGCAAAGAGAGGAGGATTGGCAGCAGTTAGCTCAGGGCTAATCTTCCTTAAAAAAAAAAAAGTAAAAAAAAAATTCTATTGATTCATACAAATTAATCACAGCAATTCACATTCTCTTAGATCTTCTACTGTCAACTATTAGTCTATAATAGAAACAAATAGAGACAACTTTCACAATAATTTTCAAGGTTGATACTCACTGATTCACATAAAGTATATGTCACACATACTTTAAAAACATAGACTCTGAAACTGGATGACCTGAGTTCCAATTCCAAATTTGCCCCTTCCTGAAAGTGTGATCTAGAGCAAATTAATTAACTTCATCATGCCTCAGTTTCCTGAAAAATGGTCTGCCCCTAAAATCTTTTCTGATTCCATCTCATATAGAATCTATTTCCCAACCTTTGCTCCCTAGCACTTATATGTGCTTATAACTCTCTTACAGAACTTTTCTTACCCTACCTTGTATTTTAATCTTTCTTATCTAATCTAATTCATGCAATTGAGTCTGCAAGTTCTTTGGAGACAGTGTTTGTGTTTTACTGGAGAGTAGAGCACTGAGCCTGGCACACAGAAGCACTAATATATTTTTCTATATGATTTAAAAGGGATAAGGAAAAGCGAAAAATAAACATTAATTGAGGGCCTACTATGTACCTGGCACTTACAATAAGTGCTTTCCCCAAAGGTTATTTCATTTAACCTTCACAACATTTCTTCCAGATAGGTATTGCTGTCCACATTTTATGGTTAAGGAAATTCAGGCTGAGAGAGGTTAAATTCAGAAAAAATAATCTCTTCCCTCCAAGGAGTTTACAATCTAGTAGGGGAGGTATACTATGTATATTAAAAACAACAAATGCAACGCAGGTAGTATGTAATAAGTGGTTCAAATGAGTTCAAAAGAAAGAAAAATTACTTCTAGAGTGGATTATTTGAGATTTTATGGGTGAGACCACAGCTAAACCGGACCAGCAAGGACTGGATACTGTCAATAGATGGAGAAAATCAAAGATCATTCCAAAGGGCGTATAGTCTCACTCCTGACAGACAGTTCCTCCTCTAGTCTTTTTTGGACAGGCTTAGAGACTACTCATTCCCTAGATGAACACTGAAAGACTATATTTAAAGTTTTACAAAAGAAGCAAATGAAAACATAATAAATAATTGGCAAAAATTTACAGCAAGGTTTGTATTCATAATATAATATATAACATTTAATAATAATGGATAATATTTAGTGAGTGCTTATTAGGCACCAGGAGTCTTGTATGAAGTGCTTCCCACAGATTATCTCATTTAAACATGCATAATTACTCCAATATCACAGAAGAGAAACTAGACCTAAAAAGAGCCATACAAAGCTTACTAAGAATCACGTGACTGTTAAGTGACCAAAGTAAGGGTCAGGTTTAGATTCATCTGACTTCAAAGCCAGCTCACAATGCTATGTGTACAACAATTTCAAACTAAGGAACACTGGCAGATTTGTATCCAATCCAAAAAATAAATTTTAATTGAGGCGTATTAAGTTTTCAAGTTACATAAAGACTCAAAGCATTCAATGCCACTTGAAAACTGAAATACACAAGTAGTCATCACAGAAGGTAACCAAAACACCCCTTTTCCCCTAACCCATAGCTGTCCCCAACCACTGTGTTTATATCACTCCCTTCAAAAGGAAGAACAGAAATCCTGACTCACTGCCAATCGTATTCTAGTTCCTTTATTGTTTTTTGTTTTGTTTTGCTTGTTTTTTAAACAGGCGTTTTTCATGTGCTCTTTCCTGGTGCTTTTCATTTCAGTTCCTCCTGGTTCTAAAAAGTATTTTTCTGTAAACCAATCCCAGGATTGGAAAATCTCTAATACTATTTGGTGATGGTGATGATGATGATGATGCTGGCCACTACAATGACAATGACAACTACACAAACAATCTAAAATAACTTCTCAATTCAATGAGTACTTAACACCTTAGCTGGCTTAGAAAGTATGATAAACATTGCTACCTAATAACCAAATCTTTAGAATGAGTAAGATAAGGAAGCTCATCAGGATATTTAAGCAATTTATTGTGTAACATTCATGCAAATACTTTGGTTTAGATTCAAATTCCTCATTTCAGCAGATATAAATACTCTCCTTATCTTTCCAAAAGGTTTATTCTAACACGCAAAAATGGTGCTCAGTTTGAATGTTATTCTGTTCCTAGCTTTGCATGTCCTGACTAGAGTGAAAAGCTCAATGGTAAATTTGACTAACAACGGATATGATGGCATTGTCATTGCAATTAACCCCAGTGTACCAGAAGATGAAAAACTCATTCAAAACATAAAGGTAAGAGAGAAAATTTTATTATCCACTTATTTTTATTTCAATAAGTATTCTCAACTCATGTTGGCTAGGTACATACACACACACTCACACAGAGTTATAATTTCCCAAAATTGCTTTGACAATAGTCATCATTTATGTAGTATGTATCTAAACTGTCAAGATTAATGTTTGCTTAAAGTGTGATTTATCATATATTAATAGTATTAGTCATTCCTCTAATGAATTATTAAAAGGCTAAATTACTAATATTTTTTAAACTCATTAAGCTAATAGAAAGACTTTAGAGCTGGTGGAGAGTTATTTTCAAATTTTATCTTTATAAAATTACTTTTACAATGTTTAAATAACTAACCTACACTTAAGCCCTAGAGGTTTATTATCATATACGTTTTTTCAGTTGTTCATACTTGTTCAACTCTGAAAAATTCAAAACGCTTATGTATCTGATCTTAAGGAAAATAATACATATTTCTGAAGTTGACTTACTTCCTAATTTTATTCAGGTTAGTCAGTATAATAAAAACACTTTATATATAGCACTTTAATATATACTGTCTTCTTTGATCCTCTCAATATCCCTATGAAGTAGTCAAGAACAGAGATTATTCCCTTGTTATATAAATGAGAGAAGATAAGTGATTTGTACAATCATACAATTAGTGACAAAACTGGGACTTGAAGCCATCGAGATCTATATACTTTTATTTTCATTACTGCTTGGTAAAACTTTGCCTTTTACGAACACATTCCACATGAGAAGATAACTCAAAATAAATCCTGCAAAAATTTTTTTCGATTAACAGTAAGTATAAAATCTACCAAACTTTAAACTCCCAAACCAATTATCAGCGCCTCTGTTGGATTAAATAAGCAACTTGCCAACAGGTCCCTGCCTTAATCCCCTTCAGATCTGACCCAGCACCTTCACTCCCCTCTCCAACCCATAAAGCTGAAAGCAGGTCTGGATAGGTAAGAAATGGAGAGTTGATTTTTGAGCATTTGAAAATGCGGAGTTTATAGATTAGAGTGATACAGTAAAATTCGACCTATTTTTCAGTTAGTCTTTGCCAAAATATTTGGGGTAAGGGAGCTTAGATTTGCTTCTTATTTGTATATATACACTTTTATGCTCATTTCATTGTGAAAGTGTTACCACAAGGTATTTTTAATTTTGTCAGAAAATGGTAACTGAAGCTTCAACTTACCTGTTTCACGCCACCAAAAGAAGAGTTTATTTCAGGAACGTAAGCATTTTAATTCCAATGACCTGGAAGTCAAAATCTGAGTACTTAATGCCAAAACAAGAATCATATGAACAGGTAGGACATTTTATGTAGTTCATAAACTGCTTCTTTCTTCCTGGGCTTTTTTAAAATTAATACTTACAATTTTTCAGTAATTATTAATCACTACTTTAGTAATTATATTAGTAATATTACTTGTCTCAATTTAGAGGAAAAATTCCTTGTTCTTATTGTTCTTGCGATCTGTTTTGGTTTGTTTGTTCTTCCACTTTTTAGGCAGATGTCATAGTTGCTAATCCTTACCTAAAATACGGAGATGATCCCTATACACTTCAATATGGACAATGTGGAGACAAAGGACAATATATACATTTTACTCCAAACTTCTTGTTGACTAATAATTTGCCTATCTATGGGTCCCGAGGTAGGGACATCTATTTTACACTTCTATGTTTATTTCTACTGGAAACAACTATAACACTGTGACTAATGGTATTTTTAAAGATTATTTAAAAAGAAAAATAGGTATTAATTAATACCTTTGTTTGGAAACATACTAGTTATGTTCAATCTAACTATATTTCTTTGTGTGTGTGTGTTTAATAATAAAATTAGTTATTTATTGATACTAATCCATTGCAACTTTTTTGGGGTATCAGAGGGGTGTCAACTTCTAGAGTTCCTTGACTCAATTAGATTAAGGATATGGGGCAAGGAGACTTAAAAATAAGGAATCTATATTAAAATATTGTAAATATAAATTTTTAAGTGGGCATATTCTCTCATAGGCAGAGTATTTGTCCATGAGTGGGCCCATCTCCGATGGGGAGTATTTGATGAGTATAATGTGGACCGGCCATTCTATATCTCCAGAAGGAACACTATTGAAGCAACAAGGTATCATTGTATTGAACAAATCTGTTTTCAAAACTTTCCACTTATGATTTTTTAATTTTCTATACTAGGCAAACAAAAATTATCTCAGTGGTTGAATGCTCATTCAGTTCATTTCAGTATCCAACCTGCCCCGCTATGTATGTGTCCAACTACTTCTGGGGATTCCTTCTTGGAATCAAGATCATTCAAAATTGCAAATCATTTCAGTATTCATGGAGATTGTACTAAAATATGTTATTGTCAAAGGAGAAAGGAAAAAGCTGTAGCCTAAACCTTAAGTATCTTAATTGGTGTTCAAGTTCCTACCCAATCTTTTATTGTGTTTGATTCATAATTTTTTAAGGTGAATCTATTTTATTGAAATCAACTAAACTACTAGAGTTTCATGTTAAATATATTTTACTTTTCATTTACTCTTAAACTTAAAGGAGGGGAAAAAGTACTTTTCATAAGGATAAGTGAGTAAATTGATATGGTGCTTTTTTGTTGGGTTTTTTTTTTTTTTTTGGTGAGGAAGATTCACCCTGGGCTAACATCCATTGCCAATCTCCCCATTATTTTTTGCTTGAGCAAGATTAATCCTGAGCTAACATCTGTGCCAATCTTCCTCTATTTTGTATGTGGGATGCCTCCACAGCATGGCTGATGAGTGGAGTAGATCTACGCCCAGGATCCAAATCTGTGAACCCAGACTGCCAAAGTGGAGCATGCAGAACTTTGACCACTTGGCTATGGGGCTGGCCGCCCTGATTTTTTAAGAAATATAATCTTGGTAGATTTAGACAGGCCCTATTTATAAATAGATAATATATTTCAATTAAAAATATCAAGCATATGGAGTATTTAAAGAGTATTAAAGAACAACAGAAATCAGAGTAATAGGGAAAGTCTTTGGGATAAAAAATATACTAGAGGACAGAACTGTGATAGAAAAAATGCCTCTCCCCACCTCCTTTGTGTGGTTTGCTTTATCTCTGCTAAGCTGCCTAGAGTCTCTCGCACAGACTGGGCTCTCAATTCAGGATACTCATTCCTCTTCCCTCCTCCCACGCAACTCCTCCCAGCACCACCTCCCTTATCCAGACAATGCTCGTTCATCCTTCAAGACTCAGTTCAAATGTTGCTTCCCTAAGTGTCTTTCCTCTCCCTCCATTTGGGGTTAGATATCTTTGAACGTGTTCTCAAAACAATATGCATGGACTTCTCTCACACTGAGCATCAATCAACTGTGAAATTTTATTTTCCCCACTAAGATCTCACACTTAAGATCCTTGAGGACTAATTTTTTTCTAATCCCCTAGCCTTGGGCCTGGCACAAAACCAAGTAAGTAAAAGCTAAAGAAAGAACGTATCAAGAAATAAATTTTTGATGAATTAACAAAAACGAATGAGCTCCTTATCAGTCATTCAAAGAGATATATTAGTAAAAACAACCATCTAAAATAAAATTTATTGAGCTCCTGCACTGTGCCAGGTACTTTATTTAATCATCAGGCTTACTTTACAGGTAACCCTTTTGGAAGATATGACTCATTACCTCCTTTAGTCCTTGCAATACAAATAAATTTATTCAAGTGGATTAATGTTATGAAGTTTAATAGTAAATCAGAATGGGAGTAAATCCTGCAGATAAATAGAAACTCTTTAGAGTCTTTTACCCCATACCCTACCCTGCCTATTCCCTGCCAGGGACTTGACAATTATCTTACTTATCACAAAGACCAAAAGGTTTGAATGCACAAGCATTTCTATGCAGCTTTATTTTTATTTCTTCCTTCAATCTAGCTCAGTGGTTTTCAAAATGTAAATTGCAAAATGCTATAAACATAGAACAATACATGGTTTTGTATGTATGGTATACACACATATGTGTATATATGTATACGTGTGCATATATATGTGTACCATACATAGAAATTTAAGAGGATTTTAAGCATAATGTTGACTCTCCCCTCCCCACTAAGAAGCAACTTCTCTGTATCTCTTAACTCACTTAATCTTCACAACATCCCTGTGAATTAGGAATTATCATCTTTAGTTCAAGGTCACAAGGATAATAGATTTATTGATCACATTAGTGAGCAATCAACGTTAATAAATATGAAATGACATCATTCCTCTTGTTGAAATCTATGGTAAATAGGGGTAGGACATTGTGCCTACTTCAGTCAAAACGGAATGTTTAGTACATGATCTATAGCAATTATCATTGAGGAAAATATTTTAGGATGTTGGTCTGTATTCATGATTTGTCTGGTCTTCATAAATAAATGTAATCTCATTCTTTTCATCATAGATGTTCAACTCATATTACTGGTATTAACGTGGTTTTCAAGGAATGCCAGGGAGTCAGCTGTATAACAAGGCCATGTAGACGTGACTCACAGACAGGGCTGTATGAAGCAAAATGTACATTCATCCCAGAAAAATCCCAGAGCACAAGGGAATCCATAATGTTTATGCAAAGTCTCGATTCTGTAAGTACCTTCTTTTCCTAGTCTCACAAAGGAAGCTTTTGGGAAAAATTAATTAGGGAAGCTAGATTTTCTACTATGAAATTATATATACCAATAGAAATGAGAGAAATTACTCAGACAATTAATTAACAGCTATTTTCTCCAGCCTATGTCAGGGTGTGTCCAGAAATCATTCCACCCTTTCGTATTAACCTGTGTCTTTTCTTCAGATGTAGAACTGTACCCTTCTCATTGGCGTGACGTAATTTCTTATAACATCCCTTCCCTCATTTGACTTCTGTGGACTTGTGTCTAGAACTACAACCTTGTTTTAATTCTCTCTTTTAAGTGTTAGTCAGACCACTTTTCCAAAGTAATCCATTCTGTAGCTTTGAAAAGTACTGACATTCTAGATTTCCCATTATCTTCCCGCTAAAGCACACCAAGCTATTGCAAAGTGATATTGTGAAAACATAAATGGCTCAATCTCTACAGAACAGACTTAAGGGAAAAAGTTCACAATCACTAATATCAACACAATAATTCAAGTTCCAAAGCTAATGTTTGACCTGAAATATCTGATTTAAATACATAAAGCTCAGTGGATAAGAACAGGTGCCTTCGAATCAGATAGACTTGATATCAAAACCCAGTCTGTCATTTTCAAGCTGCGTCACTATGAGAAAACTGCTGAATCTGAGATGTAGTTCTCTCATCTTTTAAGTGGGTATTATAATACTCACTTCACAATGTCATTGTTGTTAGATTTACAAGATCTAATGTAAAAAAGTATGGTCAGTGTTTAGCACAAAGAACAAAATAAACTTTAAATTTTTAAAATTTATAAAATATTTGGATAATAGTCAATTGTCTCTTTCCCTGGATAAGTCCAATCTTAACTAATACAAACATATTATAGCTACCTAATGAAAACTTCTAAACATGTAAAAAAGATTTTTAAATATGAAACATATGAAAGTTATCAAAAATAAATCAAAATAAAGTACTACCACTAAATAGTAAGACTAACTTATTTTTTAAAAGTAAATTTTCATATACCAAGTCAGTAGCAACAAATACTTCCATAGGTAGAGGTTTGTAAAAGCCTATTGTTTCCAATAAAATTTAAAATTGTTTTGGAGCCGAGGGCATTAATGATGGACTTGAGTAAAAATTTAAACGTGATATTTTCTTCTAAAACTCTTAAGTGAACCCAATTTGATATTTAAGTAGAAATTGTTTTCCAGCCTAATAAAGCTCCCTCCTGGGAATATTTGAAACATGAGTCAACAAAGTTCACTTCAACCTGCTGAATCTGGATCAGCAAAGGCTAGCCAAAGAATTCAGCATCCAAATAGATATCAGATCATGCGACACAAGAGGATAATTGGAATATGTACTGTCTGTTCCAAACTATAAATTCCAAAAGCATTTGACTCTCCAGAGACAACTGATGCTGCCTACCTGGGACATAAATAATAATGAAGAAGATCACGAGGCTGAAATACAGAGGGCAACTAGTTATATAAGACATGGCTCGGAGATAAATATTGTACTTTAACCATATATCTTGTCCAGAATAACACTAACTTCTAATTATTATAATATAGATGAAATATAATGCATAGCATCTGTACCCAGGGCATAAGCTCAGACCCAGGAGAGATATGATCTTAAATACCGAATGTTCAATTCCATAATTTCTTTCCCTTAAATTTCACTATTCCTACTTCATGCCCAGCACTGTGTTAGGAGCTGGAAATACAGAAATAATTAAAGATAATTGTTCTTGAGGAAATGTTTAGTGAGAGAGGTCGAGCTATAAGGAAAACATATGGAATACAAAATAGGAAGAGATATAAACCAAGTGCTACGAGAGTACAGCAAACATCTCCAACTGGAGGTCAGAAAATGGTTTCTAAAGAGACGAGTTTTGAGTTGGGATTTGAAAAAAACGAGTATAAATTTACCAAAGCAAGAAGGGGAAGGATATTCTAGGCAAAGAAATAGGTTTACAATAACAAAGAATGGAAAAATACAGGATGCCACACATGATTGTACGAGTTGAGCAGTCCTCAAATTAGCTGCATCATGGACCCTAAGATTTTAATATTTATTAGAACAATTTTCAGGTAGATAGCAGCAAAAGAACTTAAGAAACTTTTTAAGCACCTTTTTCTAATTTACTCAAAATTTCCTGTCCCTCTTTCCATTTGAGTTAGCTGAGACCTTTGTGAAAGTTTCTGGCATACTCTAAGGACAGGAAAAAGTTCAGTGTGGTACAAGCAAAGGACACACAGTGAGCAAGAAGCAGGAAACAAGACTGAAGCAAGAAACTGGGACCTACAAAGCTAAGGTGTTTGGATTTTATCTTATTAGCTTCAGACTGGCGATGTAATCAGCTTAATTCTTTCAGGAAGATAATCCTACTAATTGTGAGGGAAAAAATGGAGTGAGGGGCCGACCCAGTGGCACAGTGGTTAAGTTTGCACGTTCTACTTCAGCGGCCAGGGGTCCACTGGTTTGGATCCTGCGTGCGGATATGGTACAGTTCATCAAGCCATGCTGTGGCAGGCGTCCCACATAGAAAGTAGAGGAAGATGGGCACAGATGTTAGCTCAGGGCCAGTCTTCCTCAGCAAAAAGAGGAGGATTGGCAGCAGATGTTAGCTCAGGGCTGATCTTCCTCAAAAAAAAAAAAAAGCAAAGAAAAAATGAAGTGAGATCATAATGGATGCAGGGAGAAGAGATGGAAGGCCATAGCAATAGGCAGATAAGAGACCTGAAAGCCCTGATTAAGGCAGTGGCAGTGGTAGGGGAAAGAGAGACTAGATTTGATAGGCATTTCATATCAGCAAGACTTGATTATGAATCATCACTTTGATTGAAAACTGTATTTTTCTCCCATCCAATATAACCCCTCCTGGGAAATGCAAATCAGAACCATATCACAAGGAAATAAACTCTTAAAACTTAAATAAAAGATATTCAAATTTAATAATTTAATTGTAAATCTGAGTTTACATCTGGAGACTCTATTGGGAGGGGATTTTTTTAAAAAGGAAATGACATTTACAAAAGTATTTCTTATAAGCTAAGACTTACTGCAAGGTGAATTCTTTCCTGAACACTGCACTGGTTTATGGAAGCATTTTTCCAACACTAAGTTTTCAAACTTGGAAGATTTTCACAGGTTTCATAGTAATGAAATATCATTTGGCAGAATACTGGATACAACTCACCATTTGCAACTGAAAGAGAAGCAATCACATATCTTCATATTCTCTCTACATTTTCATTACTTTTTCAAGAATAGTATTTTATTTATGTCAGAGTTCACACAGCCAATAATAACCCAGGATGTTAAAATACCTGTTCTCAAGTTTTTCAACCAACTATAAAGAGATAGAAAATAGTTAAGCAATTAAAGAAGGCCATTTTCTTTATCCCACTTTTAGGGGTCAATTAGAAATTACTGCAAAGCCTGTCCCTTTTCCACTAACCTTAGTTCACAGCTTTATTTCCCCAAGAGTCTAGAAGGGAAAGTAAGAAGTGAACTCAAGCAGTTGTGCCAGTATCACACCACCCACCGCCTGCTATGATCTACCTGTACCTTAAAGAATCCCAAAAAACTTTCCAGTGCATATTGATGGTTTTACCTTGCTTCCTCTCAAGTTTGCAAAATGGATGGCAGAATGTTAGATTATAAATAACTTTTAATTGTTAGGAGATAAAATCTGTGAAGGATATATATGCTAACCAAGCGCATATTTGGAAAAGAGGGTAATGCCACACTGGTTATCATGATATCATTTTCTAATTGATTTTTTTTCCAGGTGACTGAATTTTGTACAGCAAAAACACACAATACAGAAGCTCCAAACCTACAAAACAAAATGTGCAATTACAGAAGCACATGGGATGTAATCATGGACTCTGATGATTTTCAGAATGCATCTCCCATGCCAGGAACAAATCTACCACCTCATCCTACATTTTCATTGCTCAAGTCCAAACAGCGAGTAGTTTGTTTGGTACTTGATAAATCTGGAAGCATGGATTCAGTAAGACATTTACTTGTTAGCTCTCTTAAATTAAGTATTTAAGCTAATAGAAATATAATTTAATCTTAGGTTTAGTTCTACTTAGCTAATTAAAATATACACTTATTATTCTACTAAATTTTAGTATAATGATTTTATATGGACAATTACTAGAAGATAATATATTAAAACAAAGATAATTGTTATATTAAGATTATTGGATTATATATAATGTTTATTCTCTAACTTTTATAGATAATTTTTATTCTTTCATTCAGTTAAAGAAAAAACTGAACAAAATATAACTGAACAAAAAGAAAACATGAAAATCATTCATAATTCCACCACTGAGCATATGTCATTTTAGTCTTTTTTCTGTTCATGTATTTGTTTTTCCTGCTCAAAAATGTGATTATATTTTATGTTTTATAATGTGATTTTTTTACTTACTATACCTTAAACACTCTCCAGGGAAAAAAATGATTCCATGACATAATTTTTAATGGCTGAATCATATATACATACCATAATTTAGTCAAATAACCTCCTGTTATTGGACCTTTTGGAGATTTTCAAGTTGTTATTATTAAAAATTATGTTGTTTTGAACATTTTTGTCTTCATTTTTAAGTTATTTCCTTAGCAGAAATTCCTGAATATAAAACTGTTAAATAAAAAGTTATCAATTTTTAGGGCTTTTCCAACTATAACATGACTAATTATTTTTAATTTTCTTTAATATTATTTCTTTATAATAAAATGAAAGACTTAAATTCTAAAATACAGTAATCAATTATTATCATGATCTGCGGCCTGTAGACAACTTCGTCTTCCACCAATTTGTCAGGACTTGAGGAGAATCAGGAATTGTTCAGAGATCTTTTTCTTACAGGACGACCGTCTCCTTCGAATGAATCAAGCAGCAGAATTATATTTGATTCAAATTATTGAAAAGGAATCTTTGGTTGGGATGGTCACATTTGACAGCTCTGCTGAAATCCAAAATAATCTAACAAAAATAACTGATGATAATGCTTACCAAAACATCATTGCAAAACTGCCTCAGTTTGCTGGTGGTGGAACTTCAATTTGCAATGGACTCAAAGCAGGATTCCAGGTACAATAAAAATGTTTTTCTAAGTATCATTTGCCATTTACCATTACTTTTAATTTTGTCCAACTATCTTTGAACAAGGGTCATGAGCTCACAGGTCCCTCATTTAAATAATATTTTTTACAAAAAGACTCTCCTACTGTCTTGTTTACAGCTGGAGGCTCTCTGAGTGTGGTTATTCCACCAACATATTCCTGAGGGACTGAGCTGCATGGGGAGTAGTCAACCAAGGGAAGAAAACTCCAGTGTGCACATAACCATCAAGATTTCATTGAGGAGCTCCCCATTCCTTCATCTCTCCCACAGTCTGAATTTCTGTGAGCAGAAAATAATGCTGTTAAGGAGACTGTGGAAGAGGGAAATTAGTAATATTTCTATTATGAGTAAAAAAAGAAAAAATTAGTTCATCCAGTTAAATTAACATTTAAAAATCACAAAGACAGAGGTAGTTCCTCAAGCAGTATAGCCCCAAACCCAAGACACATAGGTGGAAGTTTAACGAAATAAAAATTCTGAAATCAAAACTTGAGAGCAACTTTTGAGCGCTATATTAAACTCCCTCTGGTACTCATCTGAATTTCTTTCAACCTGAGATAGCCTCTATTTAAGCCTATTTATTGTCATTCTTTAAGTCACAAAAATAAAAAACTGCTTTCGGTCACTGATCCTCTAATTGTCTCAGCTAGAAAGTGAAGCCTGCTACTCTTATCCAGGCCTCCAATTAATACCATCTCTTAGCTTTCCTTGTGATGTCTATTTGTTGTAAAGCCTATTGGTTTAAGAAGGTGTGCAGGCTCTGAATTCAGACAAACCTGGGATTCTAGCTCTATTATTTATTAGCTAAATAACTTTGGATAAGTTACTCAACTCAGAAAGTCTGTTTCCTCAACCAAGTAAATGTGGAAAATAATAGCACCTATCACATTTAATTGTGAGAATTATATAAGTATGTGCTCAAGAAAGGATTGTTATTACTATAATAATTCTTATTATACATGTCTATTCACTTCTAAAATATGACAGTACCAAACATTGGGAATACATCATAATGTTTGCACATATTGGTTCATACATGTTTTTCTTAATATAATTTGATATATATCTTATGATATTTTGACCATAGAATCTATTGCTAAATAGATTATGTTAAAGCACATTCAAAGCTATAATTACTCTTAATTACTCATGTAATGAAACCATATAATATGTAAGCATTTTATTTACAAAATCATAACAATAATAGCTAAAATATATTGAGTATATACTACACTATTGCCTATATTAAATGCTTTATACGCATAATCTTATTTTATCCCTACCATTACTTTTTTAGTCAGGTACTACTATTGTTCCTATTTTGCACATAAAGAAACTGAGGTTCAGAGTAATTAAATATCTTTCTTAAGAATATAGAGTCAGTAATTGGCAAACCTAGGATTCAAAACCTGGTCTTTCTTACTCCTAAGACCAAAAAGTTAATCACTACGTTGAGCTATTTATAGAACTCTATTATATATGACAGAGAGAGAGAGAAGAAAAAAAGACAGGGAGACTAAACACTAGCCATGATATTTATCAAATGGCAGAGCTGGAATTGATCTCAATTTGTCTGACTAAAGATCTCAGTCAATACTCCTGGTAAAAGTCAGGAAAAGACAAAAAAAATTGGAATACTCAATAAATTTATGAACTTCCTTCTTCACGGCAGGTCAAAGTTTTATCCAGGAAATCCTGAGATTCTCCAATGATCAACTAAAATGCATAAAAAGACACATACTACATCATTTGACCTTGCACATTTGCCATTAGTCATGACTTTGCAAACGCTGTCCGGTCCGCAGCCTTCCAAAACTGCCTGGGTCCTTTGACTCCACCTCAAGTATCTCCCGGAATCATAATAGCTAACATTCACTGAGCACTTTCTACGTGTTAGGCATTGTTCTACGTGTTTTATTCTTCTTCTCTTGGATAGCTTCACTATATGTGAAAAAGTTAGAAGCACTGTTGACACTCTATCTTTGGCAACCTACAAGAACATTGTACATTATACTCATTTCCATGCCAAAAGTTTCCTTTTGCCTACTCTGATACATAAGCCTGAAGACTTCTTCAAGACTAATGAACAGGTTTATTCTTAGTTTAAATTTTAGATATTATATTCTGTAATTAATAATCTGCTTTTTCACTATCAGGCAATTGTCTACAGTAACCAGAGTACTTCTGGTTCTGAAATCATATTACTGACAGATGGGGAAGATAATCAAATGAGCTCATGCTTTGAGGAGGCAAAAGCAAGTGGTGCGATCATCCATAGCATTGCTCTAGGCCCTTCTGCTGCCAAAGAACTGGAGACTCTGTCAAATATGACAGGTAACCCTTTGGAATGTAGTTTGAATAGAAATTACCAAAAATATCTCTCCCATCTCATGGGCTCTTTCCCCTTAAACTATAAAACTGCTCAAAAATTTCCTGTCCTAAAAATTAATCTTTGCCCCATCCATGTCCTTATCTTTCAAGTTAATATCTTTCCTCTATGGTCCCCCACCACCTTTCTCCATTTCTACCCATACTATCTTCTTCTGTTAGTCAATATTTGCTGTCTTCATTCATTTCTCACCACTCTCTACTACCAAATTGAACCTTCTTTCTCCATGGTTACTAATGACTTACTCAACTGCAATTGTGAAATTATTGATTAGTATCTGTTCTGCTCAATCCTACATAGAGATCTAAATAGCCCTATTTCATAGAGGAAGAAATGGAAACCTAGAGAGTACAAATGATTTGCCCAAGGCTGGAGTTAGAGTGCTGATTACCAATTCTTGCCCTCTGCAATCCGTTCTTTTCCAACTCTTCACACCTAAGTAATCTCTCTCTTCACTAATTCCTATATTATTTACTTTCCACACCTAATTTTTATTTTATTCTAAACTGCCATTCTCTAATTGTTTTGGTATAGCTTAGATACAACTAGAAAATAAGTAGTTGGTTCAAAAAAATTGTCTTAAATTTTATTTTTATAACATTATTTAGTGATTAGATCAGCTTTACTAATGTGGGAGGCACTTACATCTAATGACTGATATAAAAACAATAATATTTGTCCAGTTCTTTACATTTTCTTCATTCTAACTTATTTTGAGCAAAGTTTTAATTTTTATAGGATTACACCTGGGACACTGTTATACTAAAAGCTCCTAAGCTTCTGGAAAATTCATATTTTGTTAGTTTAAAAAGAAATTTAAAAATATGTTTTAAAGTACATACATTGATAAAGTACAATAACAAATATGATTTTCCTGTTTTAAATTAGTACTATAAAAGTAAATAAACATCCATTTTAGGAGGACTTCGTTTTTCTGCCAATAAAGACATAAACGGCCTTATTGATGCTTTCAGTAGAATTTCATCTAGAAGTGGCAGCATCACTCAACAGGCTATTCAGGTCAGTGTCTCAGAAAAATTCTTTGCCTTTTCACATTTGTAATAAATTTCTATTATCCTGAATAGTAACTTTATTCCCTAATAAATAACACTTTTGCCTGAAAATATTTCAAGTGTGCAGAAGAAAAACATCCCCACTGAATTTGCTTTTCTGTGACACTTATAGCCACCTTTTCTTCTGATTCCTCTATCCCTTATATTAAGTACTTTGTATTTGCAAAATTCTTCAAAATAATTCTTATTTTAATCGAAATCTTAAAAATAAATTTATAATTACTCTGAACAGACTAAACTTTGAAATTTTATTAACTAAACTAACAAATTGGTTTCATGTGTTTATTGTTTTTATTTGTATAACAGTTGGAAAGTAAAGCCTTTAATATTAGCAGGAGGAAATGGGTAAATGGTACAGTGCCTGTGGATAGTACAATTGGAAACGACACTTTCTTTGTTGTCACATGGACAATACAAAAGCCAGAAATTCTTCTCCAAGATCCAAAAGGAAAGAAATATAGAACCTCAGATTTCAAAGAAGATAAACTAAATATTCGGTCTGCCCGTCTTCAAATACCAGGTATTGCAGAGGTAAGAATATTCTTTTATTTTCTCCATGCTTTATCAATCAATTTTGAGAAAAAAAAATGAAGATAACATCTTATACACTGTGAATATTAAAACAGTGACAGATCATCTGTCATAAAAAACAAGCCAAATAGAATTAGCGATTCATATCCACTTACTATTTACCAGCTTACAAAATTGCATATTAAAAATCATTAGTATTACTTTGCTTAAATTTCTAAATAATTTTATATTTCAAATAGGAGTAGGAAAATATTACAAAAGCTCTCAAACAGACATTTCTGATTTTCAGACAGGTACTTGGACTTACAGCCTACTAAATAATGCCAACTCTCAAATGCTAACGGTGACAATGACTACTCGAGCAAGAAGTCCTACCACACTCCCAGTAATTGCAACTGCTCACATGAGTCAAAATACAGCACATTACCCTAGCCCAATGATTGTTTATGCACGAGTCAGTCAAGGGTTTTTGCCTGTTCTGGGAGTCAATGTAACAGCCATTATAGAAAACGAAGATGGACATCAAGTAATATTGGAGCTCTGGGACAATGGTGCAGGTAATAAGAATCTGCATCAACTTCCACTGAATTTAAAATCCTACTAAAGCCACATGACTTAGAAGTCAATATTTCCTGTATATACTAATGAATCATATTCTTAAATGAACTGTTTAATTTTAATGTTTTTAAAACTTTTTACTCAGTTATCTTGACGTGAGGCATAGACATGCACACATTTATTTTCTTTAAATTTTATGAACAATTTTACTTTTCCCAGGAAACTTAGGAACACAATTTTTCTCTATTTTCATTAGTGTCAGTGTTTTGCATACACTTTCTCCAGTTTAGTTATATTCTCCTTATTTTGTTAAGATTCCTTTATGAAATAATAGTAACTAATATTAATTGAATGTTTATCATGAATTAAACTTTTCCAAAGTCAAGAGTTAGCAAGTGGTCAAGCCAGGCTTTGAATCCTAGCAGTCTGATTCCAGGGTTCATGTACTTAAAGCACTGTGCTATACTATCTCCCAAAATGGTTGCCATCACTAGTGCTCATAAACAGTTGGGATTGTGATTTTTATTCTGTTGGATGGCTAATTATTACATTTCAATATCAAGGTGCTGATACTGTCAAGAACGACGGCATCTACTCGAGATATTTTACAGATTACCATGGAAATGGTAGATACAGTTTAAAAGTATTTGCCCAGGCAAGGAAAAGCACAGCTAGACTAAGTTCAAGACAACAACAGAATAAAGCTCTATATATACCAGGCTATGTTGAAAATGGTAAGTGATGTTAAAATAGAAATGCATCATTTGTTTACGTAAATTACATGTGGCAAGCATTGAAAATATAATGTACTATGGAAAACCTAAGTATATAATTATATAATCATCTGTATGTTAGAAACATTTATATTAACGGAGCCTGCATAGGACTGTGCTTCCACATGTTTTGTTTACATCCCCCTCAGTTCATTTCATTTACATTGAAAAAAAATTACCTCCTATGTGGCAAGCATTGCGCTAGAGGCTGGAGCTACAAAGATAAATAAGACATCATCCCTGTCCTCAAAGAATTTACAGTCAAGTAGTAAAGACAGATAGCTTAAAAAACAGTTCTAATATTGCATAATGCCTCCTCATCAATTTTAAAATGACACTAATAAAACAAGCTTTTTTTCACTAAAAGCTTTTGCTTTTTCAACATTTGCTATCAATCAGTGTTAACCCTCCACAGCTGCAAGATGAGATTACAAGATAAAGAATAGACATTACAATATGAAAAGTTACAAAATTACTTTTTTTGGTAGGTAAAATTATACTGAACCCACCCAGACCTGAAATCAAAGATAACACGGCAGAAGCTGAAGTAGAAGACTTCAGCAGACTAACCTCTGGAGGGTCGTTTACTGTAACAGGAGCCCTGACGCCTGGAAATCAGAATCATGTGTTCCCACCAGGCAAAATTACAGACCTCCAGGCTAAGTTTAAAGAAGATCATATTCAACTTTCATGGACTGCCCCTGGCAATGTCCTTGATAAAGGAAAAGGTAAGTTCGACATTAGGTTTTAAAATATGCTAAAAGAAATTCCATTGGCTTTCACATGCTAGTAATTTTCTAATGTCCTATTTATAAATAACACGAACGGAGTGTCTACTGTGGGCCATTAGTAACCTATTTTTGGATATGAAAACTGAAGTTCCAAGAGATAATGAACTGGCCCAAATTAATTCTATACTTAATAACTTCGACGTCTAACCCATTCTTGTCAGACTCTATTGTGCCAAACCGCCTCTCACAATATGAATCATCTTAGAATCACTTTGAGAATACAGTTAACAGTTTTCTGTTGCATTCTTTTCTCTCTAACAGGGAAAAGTTTTTCTAAGTATTTCTGTACCTGAACAATTTCATTCATTCCTTAACCTTTTGTTGAATTTTCGAACACTATTAGGTTCCTAAGAAATAATCTCTACTCTTAACAGTCAGTTAAGTGCAGAAGATACTTTCTGCAAATAAACAGATAAGTTTACCGAATGTGGTAAGAGATATGCTGTTGTAAGCACTGAATGATATGGAAGGCCACAGACTCCTGGTTGAGGGTTAAGATCACAAGGTATATCTTAAAAGGCTTCCCAGGGAAGACTATCCCTTTCCTAAGTCTTGAAGAATGAGAGAAGTTAGCCAAGTTAAGTGAAGGTATCCCACAGAGATAGAGATCACATGCAGAAAAACTCACTAGTCAGAAACCTTTGGCCATTGAGTTTGAATAAAGTTCAAGGCCAAAATATCTCATTTATTCAAAGTTCCTTATAATAAACTGCCCTCATTCCAGAAAGTTTAAATCATTTCATCTTTGCTTTAAATTTAACTGAACTCAGTTAGTATTTATTGAATGCTTACCATATTCCAGTATTGTGCCAGGCTAGTAGATTCTTACAAGATAAAGCCAATCTTGCTATTTTCCCTCAAAGGTGGGAAAATGAAAGCAATATGCAATATCAATATACACAGTATCTCAGGGGTTGTCAGTGCTGAAAAGCCACATGTTCAGTACAATAAACATCTCATTGTATACTCTCAAAAGAAAAGATGTTTTTAAATCTTTCATTTCATTTTCTATACAGCATTTTTCAAAGCTATATTTCTTTTTATCATTACTATGCAAGAAAAAAAATCATTCTAAAGCCAAAGAAACTGCCAGAATAGTTTCCTATTCTAAGAGCTCTTCTAGACTTCAATGCTGAAAACTCTTATATGACACCTTCTGAAATATGCTATTTTCCCACACTATGACCCTTAAAGGTATGGCAGAATAAAACAAACAAACAAAAACCAATACTTTCACTGAAAAAGCCACAAATGAAATTACCTGATCAAATGTTTAGTTCTAAACTCAATTCAGCCAAGACCAAGCCTTAAGTTCAAGAATGGCTTCATAGTAAATGTCCCTCATGCTGATTATAGGAACAAAAAGAAGGAAGAATGCATTACATGTGGACACTGGGAGAGAAAGAACTTCGCTGTGCTTAACCACAAATGCCTAAAATAGGTGGGATCTAATCTCCCTCTTTTCTTGTGACAAATAGGAAGAGGTTGTAGTTGCTATCAAATCTTACCCTCACACATTGCAAAAGAAAGTAGCAGCAGTATCTCAAAGAATAATACCTATATAATCTCAAATGAAGTACTTAAACTCTCTGGGACTCAATTTCCATACCTGTCAAATATGCAAATTAGACTAGTTGACCTAGAATTACTAAAACAAGTAGATGTAATTCTAATATTTTATGATTCTCTAATTCCACCATTTTGGGCAACAACTTAAAAACTATATTATTGGCCAACAAGTAATTAAGGAGGTCAAATACATGCCCAACAGAGTTCCAGGTACTCTAGTTGATACAAAAGGAATATGAAACATAGTCTTTGCTCTCAAGAATAATAGGATCTAATTGAGAAGATAAATTGAACCTCCATAAAACAATCTGGAAAACTCTATTCCATGCAATAAGAATTCATAGAAGAGGGGCCGGCCCAGTGGTGCAGCAGTTAAGTTCGCACTTTTTGCTTCAGCAGCCCAGGGTTTGCCAGTTTGGATGCTGAGTGCAGACGTGGCACTGCTTGGCAAGCCATGCTGTGGTAGGCATCCCACATAGAAAGTAGAGGAAGATGGGCACGGATGTTAGCTCAGGGCCAGTCGTCCTCAGCAAAAAGAGGAGGATTGGCAGCAGTTAGCTCAGGGCTGATCTTCCTTAAAAAAAAAAAAAAAAGGAATTCATAGAAGAAAGTCACTGTGGTGGATGAAATATGTGAACAAGACTTCCTGAAGAAGGTGGGCCTCTTGTTGGGGCTTGAAGAATGGGGACAATTTGCATAGATAGGAAGAGGGACGCACATTCCAGGGAGTCATGACAGGGAGAGAAGGAACTGAATAACACGATTAAGGTCAAGAAAGCAAAATTTCACAATGGAATATTTGAATTAAAATAAGGGATGGATGGATGGATAGATAGATAGACAGGTAGACCCGCCTAACTGGAACACAGGGTGTGTGTGAAAAGTAGTAGAATGGATTGATAAGGCCTATCTATTGAAAAACTAGAATGTTAAGACAGAAGGCATGAATCTTTTAAAAATCACTAAATCAAAGTTATTCACCACAGACTTAAAACATTTCAACATTTCATGAAAAAATAAAGTCTTGGGGCCAACCGAGAGGCATAGTGGTTAAGTTTGCACACTCCACTTTGGCAGCCTGGGGTTCACGGGTTCAGATCCCAGGCGTGGACCTACACACTGCTCAGCAAGCCATGCTGTGGCAGCATCCCACATACAAAGTAGAGGAAGCCTGGCACAGGTGTTAGCTGAGGGACAATCTTCCTCAAGCAAAAAGAGGAAGATTGGCAACAGATGTTAGCTTAGGGCCAATCTTCCTAACCAAAAAAAATAAAAATAAAATCTTCACTTCAGAAAGAGACTTTTGATGTTTTACTGTTCATGGCATTTCAGAATGTGAGAATATATTTTTATATTGATGGCTCTGAGAGATTTCTAAAAGCATTTTGGAATGAAACATTTATGTCAGCATCTTCCTTTCCGTTCTTGATAAAATAGCAGTTATAATAGCTAATATTTCAAAAATTTATTAAGTCTCAGACATTGTGCTGAACAGTTTTCATGCATTAGCATATATCATTCTCACCATTAGAATAGTAGGCATTCAATAAATATTTGTTGACTGAATTGAATGACAATCTCTATTTTACAGATGAGAAAACTGAAGGTAAAAAAGGTTAAATAAATTTTTATTACACAGCTAGAAAGTAATATAATTAAGGTGCTAATCAGCCTGCCTAGCTCCTAAGCATGTCTTAGTTACACACTCCAGTCTCTCTGCCTCCTTTTGTTCTGTATCCTTATCCCTGTCTCCCACTCTATATATCTGCTCTCTTACTCCCCCATCCTGTATTATCCCCTCTCTCAACTTAATGAGAAATAATACAGGTGTGGGGTACTGAATGTCTTTACTACTAGAACATTATTATGTTCCTTGTTCTAAATTAAAGTGGATTCAGCTCTTTATGTTTCTATTTCTGAAAAGAAATCTAGATTCCACTTTTTTAGTACTATATGATTTGGAATTGAATTTTTTGTGATTAGATAACTAGATTAAAAAATTGTTTACATATTTGTTCTTAAAATAAAGAAGATGAGATAACCAGACAAAGACTATACCTGGGATTTCCATAACCAAAACCTAGTCTGCCTTTCCGATAGGCCCCTAAATGCAAGGCAGTGTGGTGGCAACAAGGCATCCTAGTGATTTTAATACACATGAAGTACCTACTTGTTTTCCAGCCAACAGCTACATTATAAGAATAAGCAAGTGTTTCCTGGATCTCCAAGAAGATTTTGACAATGCTACTTTAGTGAATACTTCTAGTCTGACACCTAAGGAAGCTGGCTCAATTGAAAATTTTGAATTTAAACCAGAACCTTTTACAACAGAAAATGGCACCAAATTCTATGTTGCAATTCAAGCCATCAATGAAGCCAATCTCACCTCAGAGGTTTCTAACATTGCACAAGCATCTAAGTTTATCCCTCCACAAGAACCCAGCGCCCCTGGTCTGGGTACCAAGATTTCTGCAATCAGTTTGGTAATTTTTGGATTAGCTGTGATTTTATCTATCCTTTAAACTAGGAATTGTACTAGAACTAAAACTCAATGTTATGAGTATTTGGTAAACATTTATTTAGAATTTAATTTGCTATACGTGTCTATTATAAAACTCTTTGTAATATAAAACTGAATGTACAAAAGGTGTAAATTTCCTAATTCCTTGAGTTCATTAATGCTAATTAGATGCTAAATGTAAATCAAAATGAGTACAACATTTCCTATCTTTGAAAAACCCATTTATTAACTCAGTATAAAAAGAAGATGCATATTTGTACTTGTAGGCTTTTTAAGAAATTTTTGGAGTGTGCTACAAATTCACTTGGTATATTAACAAAATCAAAATTTATCCAAGCCATTTGAAAAATATTTACATATCCACAATAGACAATTCTATGGTAGAATTATTTAAGTTTTATTCTTGATTATGAATGAATACTTCATGTTTACATAAACTGTAATCAAAAAGGACAATAAAGATAATTTTCCAATGAGAAATGGTCTAAGGCAGTAAAGAGGTCAAGTTTTTTTTTATCATTGATTAAAAGTGGTATATGAAAGTTTTGACTCTAGGCATGAAATGACTGTTAGATAAAAAGAGAGTTTTATGTGTGAATTGTGGAGCAGTCATATTTTGAGACAATTACTAGATCCTGAGTATCACCAAGATGCTCCATCAGGGCAGGGATTTTTTTTGTTTTCACTGCTATATCCTCAACATCTAGAATAGTACTTCACATTTGGTAAATACTCAATAAATATCTGTTAAACAAATTAATGAATATTTTCATACTATCAAAGAAATTCAAATTTGACCCATTACATCAAAAAATATCCACAAAATATGATGTGCACATGATAATGTGAGGACTCAACATAATGAAAACTAACCACTTAGTAACAGTGATCAGAATCAACACATAGTGTTTCAGCAAATTAACTGCATCACGTCAATAGAATTTATAAACCATCAAATAAAATGTAAATTAAGCTATTAATATAGCAATACTGTGCTTTGTTTCTGAGAGACGGAGAGTGACAGGTATACTGGAGGAAAATTCTTTGTTTATAGGCAGGAAGATTTCAAAAAGTCTTTGAGTGTCTGAAAGGAGGAAGTTGTATTATATATCTGGAAAAGTTGGGGGGGGAGGAATCATAACACATTAGCAAACCAAATCCAGATGTATATATAGAAAATAATAATATATTGTGACCAAGTTGAATTTATCCCAGGAATCCAATGGTGGTTTAATACTGGAAAATTAATATAATTCATTACATCTCCAAGCAGCTCTACCACAAGCTTCATGTGGCAAGGAGCTGATGCATCAACTTGCCAGCCATGTGAGTGAACCATCTTGGAGAAGGATCCTCCAGCCCCACTCAAACCTTTAGATGACTGTGACCCCAGCTGACATCTTGACAGCAACCTCACGAGAGACTCCAAGCCAGAACCATTCAACTGGCTGCTTCTGATACACAGAAGCTGAGACATAATAAATGTTTATACAGCAATAGATAAGTAATTCAGATTTCAACAAAAAATTCCAGAAGATTTAACAAGCACATCATCATCATTATATGAAATAAAGGTTCATGAAAAACTAATCTAATTTTGAAAAAAAATAAGTGAATGGAAGAACTTCCTTCCCAGATATTAATATAATATAAAACTATGGTAACAAAATGTAGTGTGCAATTGCACAGAAACAAATACACAGTGAAACAGAATAGAAGACTCAGAGGGGCTGGCCCAGTGGTACAGCAGTTAAGTGTGCACGTTCCACTTCGGCGGCCTGGGGTTCACCGGTTCAGATCCCAGGTGCAGACATGGCACCACTTGGTGAGCCATGCTGTGGTAGGCATCCCACATACAAAGTAGAAGAGGATGGGCACGGATGATAGCTCAGGGCCAGCCTTCCTCACCAAAAAGAGGAGAATTGGCAGCAGATGTTAACTCAGGGCTAATCTTCCTCAAAAAAAAAAAAAAAAAAGAATAGAACCCTCAGAAATAGAAATTGATATCTGATAAAGGTAGCACCGTAAATTAGTAGAGAAAAGATAGACTATTTTCCAGATAGTGTTAGGAAAACTAGCTCAATATATTCCCTAGTTCATGCCATATACACAGGGGAATCCTATCTGGAATAAAGTCTCAAATGTAAAAGGCAAATTTTAAAAGCTAATAAAAGAAAATGAAGGAAAATATTTGGGTGACCTTAGGGTTGGAAGAACTTCTTAAGCAAGGCCTAAAAGCACAAAACATTAAAGAAAAAAAAAAGAGAGATGGGTTTATATACGTCAAAATTGAGAACTTCTATTCACAAAGGACATCATAGGGAAAATCAGTCAATTGACCAGAGAAGATATTTGCAATGTTTAAAATCTGCTAAGGAATTAATATACGGCATGTATAAGGAACAGCTGCAAATGAATAAGAAAAAGACAGAAAACCTCAATAGAAAAATAGGCAAAGGACATAAGTAGGGAAATCATTTAAAGGGAAGCCCAGGGCAAATAAGTGTAGAAATCAGAGAAATGCACTAGAATCAGAGAAACACCAATTGCAACAACATTTAGAAACACCTTAACATCCAGCAGATTAATAAAAATTTAAAATCAGAAAATACCAATTGTAGGTAAGAAAATAGAGAAATAAGATTTCTCACCCTCTGTTGGCAGGAGTGTAACTGAAGCAGTATTACGGAAAATAATCTGATAATACCTAATGAACTCAATATACACGTTATCCTATCCTCCAACAATCACACACATGGGTATAAAATCAAAGAAACCAGCACACAAATCAAAAGGCAATTTACATGAGGATATTTATCACAGTGTCATTTTGTAGTTGCAGAAAGTTGAAAGTTACTTTAGGTGTCCATTGCCAGAGGAATAGAAAAGTAAACGCCATGGGTACATTATCTGAAATGCTGTACTACACTTATAGCAATACAGTAGATGCATATACAGCAACAAAATAGATCTTAAACATAAAGCAGTGAGTGAAAAAAATTGAAACAGAGTAAAGTTCTATAAGACAAAACCATGTATATAAATTAACACATAGACATACACAAAAAATAACACTTTATTTAACCAGGATATATAACAAACATATTAAAGTAAAAGCCTTGGGGGGGTAGAAGAATTGGAATAGAGTTGTGGATAGTGAAAATAAAAATAAGTAAAAGGATACAATAGAGGAGACACAGACCAATGACAACAGTATATCATCAATTGAGGAGAATTATTAATTGAATTCTATACCTGAATTCCAAATGAAATTAACAAATTAATAATAATAAAAAACTAAAATAACAAGAAACTAACAGTAGTAACAAAAAAACTCTATCAATGCAATTCCTCATATTAACAGATTAAAGGAGAAAAATCACAAGTATGTCGATAGAAGCAGAAAAGGCATTTGATATATTCAACTACCTATTCATGAGTTTTCAAAAATAAAAGCTTAGAGAACTAGGATTTGAAAAGAACTTTAACAAGTATCTAGACAATTCTATACCAAGCATCACAATTTATAGGAAACATTAGAAGCATTCCCATTAAAGTCAGGAATGCACCAAGATGCCTGCTAGTATAGCTACTAATCAATATGATGCTGGAGGCCCTAACCAATAAACAAAGACAAAATACTGAATAAGTATGAGTATTATAAAGTCACAAAATTGTCATTATTTGAAAACTATAATCATCTTATAGAAAATCCTGAGAGATGCAACCAAAAGTTTATGAATATGATAATGCAATGTATGAAATTCAATAACGTTCCTATTTATAAGCAAATAAATTTAGAAAGAGTAATTTTTAAAATTCTCATTCACAATAGGAACAAGACTATAAAATACGTAAGGAAAAAATCTAAACAAAAATGCAGAAGAATTTTATGCAGAAAACTATAAAATATTAATGAAGAACATTTTTAAAGATCTGAATAAATGAAGAAATACATTACATTCATGTATTAAAATACTCAATATTAAGATTTCAATTTTTTGAATTTAGATTACATATACATTTAAGACAGCATAATGAAAAAAAATTTAAAGACACTAAACATTTATGACAAATTGGAAGCAGATGTTTTCAGACAATAAAAATGAAGGGAGAAAAAGGGAAAGAAAAATATCAACAACTCAACAGAAAAAAAGGGCAAAGGTCATGATCAGTCAATTTACAGAGAAGGAAAATTAAAAGACCAATCACCTTAGGAAAAGAGTTTCTATCTCAAAAGTAATCAGAGAAAAGCAGATTAAAAAAAAAAGAAGAAGATTGGGGCTGGCCCCGTGGCCCAGTGGTTAGGTTCGCGCGCTCCCCTGCAGGCAGCCCAGTGTTTCGTTGGTTCGAATCCTGGGCGCGGACATGGCACTGCTCATCAGACCACGCTGAGGCAGCGTCCCACATGCCACAACTAGAAGAACCCACAACGAAGAATACACAACTATGTACCGGGGGGCTTTGGGGAGAAAAAGGAAAAAATAAAAAAAATCTTTAAAAAAAAAAAGAAGAAGACACTATTTCCACTCAATAATATCTATCAAGTTTTGGTGGAAATGGGAGGAAATAGGGACTTTCTGTTGAAGGCAATTTGGTTGTATTTAGTAAAATAAAAAATATGCACACAGTTATATGTAAATCCCTTAGAGAAACTTTTATATTTGTGTTCCAGGACACGTGAAGACATTCACTACAGCATGGTTTTTAAGAGTGAAAACAGGAAACAATCTAAGTGTCCAGCAGTAGGAGACTGGGCAAATAAAATGCGGCATCTTCACGATATGGGCCTATACAACAGCTAAAAGAAATAGATCATGTCTATCTATCTCTAATCTGTATTAAATAGATTTCAAATATATAATATTGGGTAAGGAAAACTGCAGAATGACAGGTACAGTATGATATCATGTACATAAATTAAAACCACCGAAAATATATGTGTTTGTAAACATAAATAAGTAAAAAGTATTTTAAAAATTGTTTGGCAGGAGACACTAAACTCTTCACAGAGGAAGATTCAGCAGGGCTTAGAAAGACAAATGGGACTGGGGGTGTTGGTTTAGTTCCCTAGGGCTTAAGCTTAAACAGTGATGCTTTAGCCCTTTAAAAAAAAATCTAAGATATGATAAAAAATTAACAATGGTTAATTCTATATCAGAGGAATAACAATGTTGTTATACCATTCTTTTTATTTTCCTGAATTTTAAAAATTTCTTAAAGTATAAAATAAAAATCTATTTCACTTCAGTCCAATTAAATAAATTTACAAATATTTTCAAAATATAAACTTGCATTAGAGACATTAATTTGTGTGCCTACATATCTTCATCCAGCTCTGGATACATACAGGGGCATACCATATAGTAAAAATAGGGGAAATCATCTACAACATGACTCTAATCAAGATTAGTGTACTTACTTTGGCAGCCAATGGAAAGTGCAGCTACTTGAGCAAGTTGTGATGCGATATGAGCTGTACTTTCACGAGTATTCATCTTTCAAACTTGTGTAAAGGAGACTGAAATGGAGAGATGATTTGGAGGCTATTAAAAGAATCTAGGCAAGAAGTTACATATTAGAGTATTAATAAACGGTAAGTAGTAATAAACACGGAAAGAAGATAGTAAGTTTCATTTCTTTGTCCACCTCCTTTATTATCATACCCAAGCTCCAAAGGTACTTGAAAAATGTTGACAAAATACATGATCTTAATTCTTAGCTCCTCAACGGAAATATTCTCAATAATTTTCAAATTTAAATAATTAATCTTTCTATGTAAGCTGTACATAAATTTGAAGTCATTCAGGTATGAACTTAACACTGCTATTTTGCATATTCATCTACCATGACCAAAATATGAGGGTTTTCTTTTAACCAGAGTATCCACAAAATTAATATCTGTTCTTCTCAGATTGAGACATTTCTAACAAAACAATAAAAACTATGATTTATTGAACTATAACTTATTACATGCCAGCCACTGTGGTAGGCACTTTCCATATATTTTCCTACTTAACCTTTACTTCAGGACTATAAGGCAGGCATTATATTGTATCCCCACTTAACTGATAAGGGACTTCAGTCTCAAAGATAGGAAATAATTTGCCGAAAATCAGACTAAAGCTAGTAAATGGTGATACTAAGATGCAAACCAAGGTCTGCCTAATTCCAAATCTATGCTCTTTCCACTACTATCCTAATTTCTTCCACTAAAAAACATCATTTATTCGGCTGTCACATAAACAAAATCCTGAGTTCCAAGCGGCAACGAAGGTTGATAAGTCCCCCATTAATAAAACATCTTTAATTTATTTTTTATGAGTAAATATTCATTTTTATAAATAAGTAATTTTGATACATTATGCTATCTCTTTTGAAGTTTTTTCTTCTTCTTCTTCTTCTCCCAAAAGCCCCCTGATACATAGTTGTAGGTCTTTCTAGTTGTGCTATGTGGGACACCGCCTCAGCACGGCTTGAATGAGTGGTGCCATGTCTGCGGTCAGGATCCAAACCAGTGAAACCCCAGGCTGATGAAGGGGAGAACATGAATTTAAACACTCAGCCACAGTGCCAGTCCCTCTTTTAAAGTTTTTAAGAACAGCTGTCTAACCACTTTAAACTCCAGTTTTTGAAATGGGGTAGTAACATATTTATCTCACAGGATTATTTTCTTAATTGAGATGCTTTTAGTTACTGTCTTAGTTTATTAATTAGTTGAGATTAAATGATAAAACAAGCATTTAGCAAAGTGTCTGGCATATAGTTAGTGCTAAATAAATATTAGCAGCTATTATCTTATTATTATATCAGTAAATATTCTATTATTGATTGAGTTCAATTCTTCTATAAAGAACCCAAAATCTCAGGGCTGGCCTGGTAGTGCAGCGGTTAAGTGTGCACGTTCCGCTTCGGCGGCCTGGGGTTCACCAGTTCAGATCCCAGGCGCAAACATGGCAGAGCTTGGCAAGCCATGCTACATATAAAATACATATACACATATGCTACATATAAAGTAGAGGAAGATGGGCACAGATGTTAGCTCGGGGCCAGCCTTCCTAAGCAAAAAGAGGAGGATTGGCAGCAGATGTTAGCTCAAGGCTAATCCTCCTCAAAAAAAAAAGAACCCAAAATCTCTATAACCTCCTACAGCACAAGAGAATTATATCCTTGGTACTCAGTATACAATTATGGAGCATCTACAATCTCAATTTGAAAGGTATCTACAAAAACATTACCTTTTCATTAAGCTAAAAATATAGGAATCACCTAACAGTTCAACTGACAACTGAAATCAGACACACTACTTTAATTTTATAGCAGTTAATTTTTTAGGTTAGCCTGACATCTAGTGGAATGACTGTAGCCATCCAAAAGATTTAAAATACATTCCTTTTTTAAAAACCTAGTAACATTCCATTAAATAAAAGACCAATGTCTAAGGTAAATGTTTAAAATAAAATGGAAAATCAACCTGAGTATTTTCTATGTTTCAAGCACTGTACTAAATGCTTCCACATACCTTAAATCACTCATTCATTTGTTCAAAATAAATATTTAGCACCTGTTATGTGCTAGGTACTTATTATACAGCATGTTTAAAAAGCAGATATGATCCCAGTCCTTTTGGAGTTTATAGACTTGTAGAGAATAAGTTATTAAATAAATTATTATATAAATTAATAAAATTACAAATTGTGTTTAGGGATATGAAGGATTTTAGAAGAGAATCCTTAATTTAGTAGAGAGTTCAGGAAGGGCCTTTCTGAGGAAGCGATGTGTGAGCCAACTTCTAAAGAATAAGTAGCAACAGGAATTTAAGACAGAGGAAATAGCATGTGTGAAGGTCCTGAGGTGGGAAAAAGTTGGTTGCCAAAAGAATTGAAAGAAGGGCAGTGCGGCTATAGTTGTAAGGGACACAGTAGTACCAGACGAGCTTAGAGAGGTATATGGGGGCCAGATTAGGCAGGGCCTTGTGAAAAAGTAGGCCATGTTAAGGATTCAGGATTTACCATTTTATCATAGGTATAATGGAAACCATTTAAAGTATTTAAATAGGGAGAGATATATGATGAGATATATGGTTTTAAAAGAACACTCTGGCTCCTGATGGAAAATAAAATGGAAGGAGATGAATGTGAAGGTAGGAAAAACAATTAGGACCCATTGGGAGAGTATTTCAATAGTCCGAAAAATAGATGGTTTTGGCTCAGATTATAGAGGTTGCAGTTAAGACGTATTTTGGAAGTAGATTCAGATCTTGGTGATGAATCAGATATTGGAAGGGAGCTAGGAGTGAGGGACAAGAAAGCATTGAAAATATTCCCAGATTGCCATCTTCAACAACTGAGCAGGTGGAGGTATTAAGGTGAGAAACAACAGATTGGAGAATAACACCAAGCTTTTATTATGAAAGAATAATCCAGAGACATTTAGTTATTTATCTGCAAACAATAGGTTTTCACATATTGGGAGACAGTTATTAGACTGCTGTCAGAGAACAAGGGCAAAAACTGCATTTAGGAGAAAAAAAAAACTGCAGATAGTCTAGGAAGACTGAGTCTTGGTTGCACATCTTTAAAGGTAAACTAATGAGGTGACAGCAAAGAGATCCATCTAGGCAGTCTGTCCTTGTGAAGGTTGTTCAGGGATAACAAAGAAAGCAATTTTAATTGTATTCAATTCTCCCCAAACCATGAGAGTTTGCCATAGAGCATTCATCCGATGCTGACCAAGGGTAATGTCTTTCAAGGCTCTTCTATTAGCATCTCCTCCTTAGCTGAGCCAGCTCTGCATCATTTCCCTCATCACTATTTCTCACTCCCTCCTTTTGGTCAAAACAAACTCCAAAAGATGCAAATTTCACCATGAGGGTTTCAGTTCCTTTTCTGACTTATTATCAGTTGAATGTCAATTCAAGATAATGGATGTGAAACAACATTTTAGATGTCTAGATTTGATTCTATTGATCCGGCTGGACTAGAAAAGCCAGGACAAATCTTTCAGGGTCCGTAGGACAGGTTACAGATTTTGTTCTTTATTCTGAGACTAATGAGAAACCACTAAAGCTTTGAAACCAAGACGGTAACTTGATTAGAACCTGAACTTTTAAAATTTAGAAAATTTTGCAATATTTATGATACAACTCAAAAGTTGCTCACTGACTGGGTATTTGCTAATATTAAGGAATTATTGCTAATTTTGTTTTAGGTGTGATAATGGTATTGTGATTATGCTTAACCAAAAAAAAAGAATTCTTATCTTTTAAAGATTTACATGCTGAAATATTAATGGAGGAAATGAAAATAAAATTGGGAGTCATCTGTGTATAAACAGATGTATATGAATGAAGACAATTACCTGTGGTATAAAGTGAGAAGAGTAGAGGAATAAGGATTATGCCTTGAGGAATTTCATTTATTAAAGGCCAGAGACATGAGGAAGTGCAAAGAAACCAGAGTATCTACTTGAGAAGTAGAAGGAAAATCAGAGGAGTGTTACGTCATGGAAGCCAAAGGAAGAGAGGTTTCAAGAAGGAAATAATGCTCATAAAGTACTTACCACAGTGCCTGGCATATGGTAAATGGTGCATTTATTATGGTGATTTATTAGAATGAGAAGGAAGTGGTGTAGAATACCAAGTAATGTTAAGAGGTCAAGACAGAGAAACCACCGGCGACCTTAAGGAGAATTACGTGCAGGGTTGGGGGAAACAGCTACCTTAGAGTCATTTCAGAGATAAATGGGAGGTACAGACATTGAGACAGTAACTGGAGATAATTCTTTTAAGATGTTTGATTGACATGAGAAGAAAATAAATAAGGCAGTGGTTGGAATAAGGTTGTGAGAGTGAATGGAGGCAGTATTTGTTTCGTAGCAATTCGGACGAAGAGCAGTTTAAAAATAGGAGAGACTTAAGCATGTTGAAACAATGGTAAGGAACATGTAGAAAGGAAGAAATTGAAAATATAGGAAAGAGAAGTGATATAAATATATGGGTCCTAAAAAGGTGTGAGAGGTAGGATCCAGAACATACAGGGAAAGGACTGATCTTTCATGGGCAGAAGGACATTTCTTTTATTTAACAGGAGAGAAGGAGAAATGACAGGAGCAGATGTAGGCAAGCTGCAAAGGATGTCTGTATTCTCCCTTCTCTTGGAAAACAATTTTCTGGAACATATTCAGTGGCCTTTTAGTATCCAAATCTGTGGAATTTCCTGTTCTCATTTTCTGGTGCAATATTTGATATTGTAGACCATTCTTTTTCTTAAAACCCTCTCCTCCTTTTTAAATATATTTCAAGTAGACAAAAAAATCTAAAGACTAATAGAATGAATGCCCCTGTACACTAGCGTAAGAAATACAAATGAAGTTCCAATTCCATTCTCTTCCCTTCTCCTACAGATAATGACTATTTTGAATTAGGTGTTTCTCATTCCCATGCTTGTTTTTATACTTTTACCACTTACATGTACTGCATATATATCATATGTATATCATATACATGAATACACATATAAA